CGGCCCCAAGCTCGAAACTCTGGTTTTTCATGGCTGCCAGATTGATAGGGTTTAGGGTTTAGGGTTTAGAGTTTAGAGTTTAGGGTTTAGGGTTTAGGGCTTAGGGTTTAGGGTTTAGGGCCATAAGGCTTTGGGAGGACCTTGAGGTTGCAGTGCTTTCGGCGCTCACATTACCGAGTTCAGGACGGTGGAGTTTAGGAAAGTTTAGGGTTTGGGGTGTAGGGACCAGAACTCACATGAAATAGAAGAGCCTGAATAATTAGCCTGGGGTTTTGGAGTAAACTATAGCAAAGATATCATCTTGAGGAGGTTTTCGTGGTAAATACTCAGACCCCATATTGCAACAGCACAATAATCCCGAGCCGAATAGGCTGGGATACCTCTTGGCATCTAGGATACGGGCGTCATCAAGTTAAGCACATAACATCGAGAGTGAGACGAAATGGTCTCTATGTCTCAGTGGGGAGCGGGAGCAACCCTACCTGCCTGGTTTGATCTGGATAGGTCTTCCCTGGCCGAGGATATTACATGCAAAAAGGACTAACAAGCCGTCAACCCTGGTTTCAATTACCAACGACGGGCCAATTACCCTAAAGCCTTTTTGCATCAGCACTTATGCTATCGGGAAAAGGCTTTGGTGGACAGAAAGCAAACAACGAGTTGAACTGTACAGTCACCGGAAACTATTCCTGAAACCGTAAAGCCCAAACCCTTTTGAACGAGGTCTCTCTGAAGTGCCTGCAAGCTGCCCGCCTCATCGCCTAAACCCTTTTTGCACAGGCTTGCGTTAATCCCGCCTGGACGTGTCGCACCCGATCGCCTAAACCCTAAACCACCAGTGTTAAAGAACAATGCTTAGGGCTGTCGGGCTGCCCGAGCGTCGGGCTAAAGCTGGCTCCATGGTCTCGCGCGTTTAAGAAATGTTTTGCTGCAAGGCTTCCGGGCTGTAGGTGCGAAATGCCAGGTTTACGTAGGGCTTATGGGTTCTAGGGTTTATGTTTTAGCCTCGGCACCTAACTTCTTAACTGAACTCTAAGCCCTGACGTATCTAGCTTCAACCCAGCTAGACGTAGAAGGGCCTGGGATCTAGAATGAGGCAGTCTAGAAGCCAGTCGGACACTCCGAGATATGCGCGCCGCGTTCCGGCCGCTGAAGTACTGCTGCTTCCTTGGCGGGCGTAGATGCACCGACACGGCTCGAATGAGCAATACAGACCCGTCTGAAGGCCTGAATCGTCAAGCCGATTGAACTCCCTTTTAATGTGAGTGCTTTGAATAATCGGGAGCCTGCATTATGGAACAGACAAGTACAGCACTATCAAAATTACCGCCAATACATGCTAGCAATCACAAAGGCCGCAACTAGACGAACACGAAGACTGCGGTTGACAGTAACAAAACCTAGAACAGGTACGGTAAGGTTCCGTTCGGCTGAGTCCTGACCCAGGGAAACAAGACTGCCAAAGCGCTTTCGGAATCTTTTTTACAGAACAAGTCAAGAAAAGCTCTTTCACTCTAAAGCATCCCAGCATCTCATAAGCCCGGATGGTCGCAACTCCAGCAATAGCTTCGTCAACGCCTGGCTGCATGCCGGCCCTCTACACCTTACACCCCAACTCCGCTTTCGAAGCTATCGACAAGTCATGGCTTGCAGTTTATGGGCCTAAGGCTTAAGACCTCTTTCAGCACGGACTGAGGTGCCGGCTGCCGCCTACGCAACCCTCACCCCGTCTTGAAGCAAAAGCGCACAGGAATTGTAAGCCCTTTTGCAACTGGCTTGCAACGTCACGCCAGGACAGCTGACTCGTTCCTAAGCCCTAAAGCCTTTTACCCCCAACCCGTAAATCCTCTAATGGGTTTAGGGGTTTGGGGGTTTTGCTCTTTAGGGTTGACGGTTTGAGAAATTCAGGGTTTATGGTTCAGGGACTAAGCATCCCTAAATCCTCGATCCTGAACACTTACACCGGTCGGCTTTAGGTTTACGTGAAGGGCGCCGTAGCACCGGATCCGAGCGCGACGAACCAAACGGATCTGGCAAAAAAGCAAGGAAGGTCCTACACTTGGTCGGCCTGCTCTGTGCAGAAGAAGACTCACAAAAGCTTAGGGCAAACGACCCATCTGAACCTTGAAAGCCGGCACCGACGTGGAAGCCCCGTGGGAGGTGGCTTTTGGGGAGGTGACGCAGGGTGTGACGAGGCTTTTGCAACTTGGCGTCTCGGCCTTCTCCCAAGACTGCGAGTGTAGACATAATCTCAATGAAGAAACGGTAACTGCTCTGGTATTCGGATGAAGGGTGGCATAAGGTTGTCGAGCATCTTTGCATGAGGGGCTCTAACCCGGCTAGGAGTCACGCCTGCCTTGGTAGATAGGGCTGTACGACTTGCTGGCCATGCGCTGAATCTCACGGCCACTCTTCCTGCTTTGGGTCGGAATTGAAACACCGTTAGAGACGGTGGCATTCCAAACAACCACAACCACAAAGACAACGACTACTACGACAGCGACGACCACAACCACAACGACAACAACAACAACGGCGAAGACGGCGATGCTGCCACTGCTGCTGCTACTGCTACTACTACTACTACTACTACTACTACTACTACTACTGACGACGACGACGACTACTACTCCTGCTGCTGCTGCTGCCGCCGCTGCTGCTGCTGCTACTCGTACCTCTTCTGCTACTGCTGCTTCTACGAATAATAGCAGCAGCAGCAACAACAACGACAACAGGAGCAGCAGCAGCAGCAGCAAACAAGCAATCACACAAACAAACAAAAAGCGGCAACCAGCAACAAACAGCCAACAACCGACAACCGACAACCACCAACCGACAACCACCACCACCAACCGACAACCACCACCACCACCACCACCACAACAACAACAACAACAACAACAACAAAAGTAACAGTAAAGCATTAACAATGTGGCTCATACTCCTACTCCTGCTCCTCCTGCTCCTGCTCCTGCTCCTGTGCCAAACGATTCTTCTACACCGGAGGCCACTGCAACTACTGGTCATACTGGTGCTCTGGACCGTCCCTGCCTGTAGATCTTCTGAATCCAAAAGTAGGCAATCAGCGACGGAATCACCACCACGAAGATCAGAGGCACGACAAAGAGCACCACGAGGAAGCTAGCGAGCATGTCGAACCTCCCGAAGGACTACAGTACGGTCTGCAGGGTTTGTGGGGGAACTCTCAGGGTAGAGTTGAAGATGTAGGGGTAAACCCTGAAGGGTCTTGTATCACGCTTGCGTCAGGTCTTGCATCATGCTGGAAACTCTGAGTTCTTAGTGTTTCTGGTAGTTCCTTCACCTTCCGTCTTTCTGGTTCCCCCTTCCACCATGGGCCTCGTCAAAGTGCCTTGACATACTGCAAACACCAAGCAAGTCAGGTTTCGGGGTTGGGCTTCGGTGGTCCGTAGCCCACGCTGGCTATGACCACTGTATGAAATTCCGATACGAGTAATGCCACCACGATGCAGGGCGCGCAGAAGTGCCGTCACATTGTTCTGGAGGTCCGTGTCGACTTTCTGCAAGTCTGAAGAGAAGCCTTCCACCACTCTTGCACTATGTGCACGACGCTCACGTCGAATGAAGGTGGCACTCTGCACTAGGCGCATGGCAAGCCCCGCAGGCCCTCATCGTAAAACCGATTGAGAAAAGGGAAAGAGGAAGCACCGAAAGTGGATTCTTTGTGTTTCGGGTGACAAATGGCAGGAGAAGCCATCCGGCCCCAAACCTTTTCCGTAGCGGGAAGGTAAGGGCTTGGCTTCCAGGTGTAGATTTTTCCTTAGAGGGTGGAGGGAGGGACTTAGTAAGTACATAGCTGGCTTACGGAGCTAAAGCACCCTGACAGGGATCCTGGATACCCACTCACTAAGTCCCCCCCCAGGTAGGGCTAGAGACAGAAAGAATGCACCCATGAAGTGCTGTCTTGCTAGTGAACAAGTACCACTACTACTACTGCTACTACTACTACTACTACTACTACTACTACTACTACTACTACATAGACAGCTCTGGCTTCCGACTGCTTGCGTTGAATCAGTTTGCAGCAGCCCCGGCCCCTCCCCGCGCATGGCCGCTACGAATCAAGCCGCCCATCTGCAATGTGTCAATCACCTTCTGCAGGCTAGAGAATCTTGAACTTTAGACTCAAGCCGTCAGACCTTCCAAAAAAATTCCGAATCGGCGGGAGGCGATTCACGACACGGCCCGTCGGCGTGGTGTCATGCCAGGACATGGGAGATCGGATCACCGCCCAAAGAGCACGTTGATGCATGCTTCCTCGGCTTGCACATGCCCAAACCTGAATCCCTCGCAAAAGTCTCACACACAGACACAAACCCCATGTGCATCTGCGCGCCCATCCATCCGTCTACGCAACTCATGTCTACATCTGTATGATACGTTCAGTTTTGGTTGCGTCAACATATATGCATGATCAAGCCTGCCTGAATACAGATATAAGGCAGATGCACTGATTCACGCTTTCTGCTTCCGGAATGCGGGACCATTCACATCTCTTACAATGCATCCCACGATGCTCAACAGCCGTACACCCTACACTCGCAGCCTTTGGGAGACTTGGGAAGTCGGGTGGTTATCAGGGCTTGGCCTAGTGACCAAGTACCTGATGGCCGAGAGTCCTAACACCTCACGGATCTACGGTTCGAGCTTTACGTCTGCGCGCGAAGCCCGGACGACATGAACCACACGCAGTCACAGTGTCTGGAGAGCTTGAGCGAGCTGTACTGGAACACCAGCAGCCTGAGTCATGGCAATCATTGATACCGAAAGATAACCATGAACTGGACCATGAACGCGACAGCAGCAACAACAACAGCAGCACAAACATCACCGGCAGCAGCAGTGACAGCGGCGGCAGCGGCAGTGACAACATGATCGTCACCTGCATCAATGGCATCACTAGCATCACCAGCATCATTACCGCCATGACCATCATCACCATCAGCATCAGCAACACCATCATCCTGTTCACCATCATCCTGCTGTGCTTCTCCTGGTATGCGACCAAGGCAGAAACGGAACATGGTATCGGCATCACACCACTAACACTACAAGTGAGATTTTGAAAGGGCATCAGACAGCTATGATGAGAGCCTCGGGGTTCATGGCACTTCCATCCACGTACCTGCGCACTTCTCCGAGTGGCCTAATGGCCGTGAACGCGACGATGGCAAACGAGATGAGTGCGTACACCTGGCGCGGGCATCATGCCAGCAACAAATACTGTACAGCGAACCCCAGAAAGTTGGAACATGGATTTAGGATGATTGGTGCTAGGGTCCCTTATATTTTACTGTAAAAGTACCAGGGCGATGATGTTCCAACTTTCTGGCTTCTACTGTAGGTCGGACTCCCGATGGACGATGGGTTCAGGCTGCAGGGTTCCCTTCACACTCAAGTCTTACTCATGCTTTCGGACATTAGCCAAAAACCTCCCAAGGGCGAAGTGAGGATTTCAGTAAGGATCCCCTACAACCTAGACCAACAACAAAGGGATTCTCACTTTCAGGGCCCCCAGAAAAAGGGCTGCCAATCCTCAGAGGCACCTTACACGTGCAATTTAAGACCCTGGGACAAGCTTCGGGTTGGGTTTTTTTCCCACCCGCTTGGGTTCGGGTTTAGGGTAGTTCAGGGTCGGTACAAGCCAGAAAAACTTGAGGTTTTTTTGACACTCACACTCGGACAAAGCCTAGGGTTTAGGGCTCCAGGTTATATAGGGTTTAGGGTTTAGAGTTCAGCGTCGGTACAAGCCAAAAAAACCTGAGGTTTGGCTTCGGGCTCCGAAAAAAAACCTAAGTTTAAGGATTCCTCGAGTGCGGGCGGCCCGCCACCAGTGCATCCGCGGTCCCCAGCTTCTCGCTCAATTCCGGCCAGTGCCCGATCCAGAGTGCGGAGCACAGGTATCCTGTTCTAGGTTTAGGGTTTAGGGTTTAAGGTTTAGGGTTTACGGGGTTCACGTATCCTGTTCTTTTGGTTGCGGGTGAGGGTTTGAGGCTTAGGGTTTAGGGCTTCAGCACTCACAACTGGGTTTACGGTTTAGGGATTAGAACCTAAGAGAAAGTATCCTCTTCTAGGGGTTAAGGGCTCTAGCAGACTGTGGGTGTCAAAGGCTCTTGGGATGAAAGGGTCCGAACGACCGCTGGAAGCTTCTTGCGTGTGGGTAGTTCTTTAGATTAGGGTTCCTTTTTATGAATCCAGTGGCAGGTGGCACCCTTCTGAAAAGGACCCTAGAAGGGACCCTAATCTAGAGAACTACCCAATCAGAGTTCAAGGCTTAAGGTGTTCTAACCGTTCTAAGCAGAACATGGGCCTAGGCGCTTTATCGCGAATGCTATGCTGTTCATGCTGGCCGAAAGAAAGTTGCCCGGCGGCCCCCCATGCTCTCATGAGAATTCGTGGGACTCCAAAGGCGTTCATTGCGTGATTTTGGTTTCTAGACTGGAGTTGGCGGTTGAAGGTTCAGGGTTAAGGCTTCAGGGTGACATGCAGAGCACCAAATGGCCAGAGTTCCGCATCTCGCAGTTATATATGTATATATATATATATATATATATTGGAACGGACACGATGGGTTTCAACTGCTTGGGGTCGAGGGTTTAGCAGAGTCTGGGGTTCATGTGAGAATCCCAAGCCGCAATCGGACGAGGTCTGAAAACCCAGTAGGCCTGCTGTGCTGACGAAGTTGGTGGCAATCCTCGCGGACATTGGCACGTGCCCAGAAACTCCAAAACCCTAAACCCCTAAACCCCTAATTCCTTAACCATGAACCCTTAACCCCGAAACCCCTAAACCCCTCAAAGGCCCGACACGGTCCGCCTGTTCACGCCCAGGCGAAAGCGTTGAGGGTTTGGGGTTTAGGGGTTCAGGGTTGAGGGTTTAGGGTTTGGCATTTGGGGTTTCGGCGCTCACACTCGGGCAATCCAGGCGAGGAATATGATTCGAGGTCCGCTGAGAAGTGAAACTAAAAGCGAGTTCAAGACCGCCAAACAACAGTAGGGTTTGGGGGGTTTAATATAACCCTTATACACCCCTTATAAGGTCTCATAAAGCCCCTTTCTAACCCCAAGGGTCCCTTTTAAGGGCCGCTCCTTTCATCCCTTGAGGTTTAGGGTTTGGGGCTTGGGGGAGACAAACTTACATTCAGGGAGCCTTCCGGGGTCGAAACAGTTCGAACCCGGTTTAGGGTTTAGGGTTTAGGGTTTAGGGTTTAGGGTTTAGGGTTTAGGGTTTAGGGTTTAGGGTTTAGGGATCCACATTATTGGCATTTTTGTTGGGCGCATTCTTCTTCTTGCTGTTGCTATTAGTATTGTTATGTGTAGCCTGTGTAATTATGACTATTATGATAACTGGAATCATCTAAGCCAGGAAACTTAAGCCCGAAAAAACCTCAAACCCCCGAGAGTGCAAAACCCCCAAACCCTACACCCATGTTGCATCCAGGCCTCCGAAACCCTGAACCCTAAACCCTTTTTTTACACAGACTTGATTGGAGCTCGCCCGGCCAAACCCTAAAACCTAAACCCTAAACCCTAAACCCCAAAACCATACCCCGAAGCCCCAAGCCGCCAAAGAAACCCAGAAGCCCAAAAACCCCAAGCAGGGTGTTGGGTTCGGGTTTTGATTGGGGCTTGAGCCTTTTTGCTTTGGGGGCTCCAGTTTAGGGTCTAGGATTTCGAGTTTAGGGTCTAGGGCTTCGGATTTAGGATTTGGGGTTTAGGGTGGGTGTAGCCTTTAGGTGTGATACTGCTGATGGACAAAATTCTGCATGACCCAAATATAGTAGAGTACCCATAAATCCCATAGTCTAGGTACCTAAGGTCATGCAGGATTTTGTCCATCAACAGTATGATATTGTAGTAGATTACAGTAGACGGTCGTTAATTATGGTATATTATCGTGGATTAAAGTACATTGTAGCATATCATAGTACCGTAGCTCGAGGCCTTTTTGGGGGTTTGTGGCTGAGGTCTCCAGGCTTTTCAGGCTCTGGCGTCCAAGCGTTAGGCCGCTTTAAGGCGCAGGGTTAAGATCACGGTTCGTGGCTTTGGCCGTTTTTAGTAGGGTTTGGGGTTTAGGGTTTAGGGTTTAGGGTTTAGGGTTTAGGGTTTAGGGTTTCAGTATATTTCCTGAACAGAGGTTTTTGTATATTTCCTGAAAAGATACCAGGCCCTGAAGCCCAAAAACCGCCAGCCGGAAATCCGAGAAACCCGTACAAGGTACCCCAGACAGGGATCCTTATTGGGGGCACCCTGAAAGGAACCTTGACAGGGAGCCTACCAACCCCTACACCCTTTAAAGGAACCTGTATAGGGAGCCCTAAACCCTAAACCCTAAACCCTAAAACCCTAAAACCCTAAAACCCTAAACCCTTTTTTTGAACCCAGGGAAGCAGCACGTCCAGATTATGGCAAAACCCTAAACCCTGAACAAAAATTGAACCCGAAGTTTCAGCTCAGGCACACCACCCAGACGCCCCAGCCCATGGCTTTGACGAAGGCGCACCAAACGCGAAGACTGAGGGCACCTGCCGAAAAGACTGATGGGAACCTTAGGGCCCTTTGGGTTTAGGTTTAGGATTCCCTAAACCCTAAACGCTGACTAGCGTTTCGGTTCGAGTTTAGGGTATAGGTAGTCGGGCAGGGGGGGAACTCTGAAGGCTTGTGGGGATCTACCAAGGGTGTCTGCACTAAGTTTCTAGGGATGCCCGCAGGTGCCGGAGAACTACGGCTGATGATATAAATCCTGCTTTACCCATGAAAAGGAATATGGGCAGTTCTCTAAATTAGGGTTCCTTTTTAGGCCCCCGATTTAGCACGGCACCCTTAAGGACCCTCAAAGGGACCCTGATTTAGAAAACTACCCATATACCATAATTCCCATACTTTTCGAAGTTGCATTTTGTCCCCTTCACCCGGGAAGTCTAAAAGTACGCAGTTTCAGCCTTTGCTCTATGCCGCGCTTCATCCTACACCCCAAACCCATGAGGCACGATACCCCAATCCTAAACACGGTTTAGGGTTTAGGGTTTAGGATTTGGGATTTAGGGTTTAGGGTTTAGGGTTAGCTCAAAATCCGAACGTCACCTACTCAGCTACGAAGGCATTCGGTCACTGCTCTACAAAGCCACCAAAGGACGTCTATAAAGCCTATAAGCCGTTACAATAGACCATATCTAGTATGAACCCCTATGGCCCCTCTTGCGCAACTCTTTTTTAAGCCGTGTGAAGCCCTGCGACATGTCCACTCTCAGCTTCGGCGAGGGTCCCGCTTTTGATGGTTTGATTTTCTGTCTTCGAGTTTTGCAAGGATGTTACAGGGGCTTACAAGGGCATTTAAGGGTCCGATCTGGCGCTTGTAAGGTTTGAGGTTTATGGGACCAGCTTGGGGGTTTCGGCGCTCACCGGACAATCCAGGCGAGGCGTGTGGTCTTGAGTCGCGGCTGAGTGCCACGTTCCAAAGCGTAGGGTTCAGCGTTTGCTGTTGGCTTACTGTCAGGGCCGTTACTGCCCGGTGTGCCGATCTATATTTTCACTATAACCCTTGTCGTCTTTGTAGCCATCGTAGTAGCATCAACCCTTCAGATGGCGGACAACAACAACCGCGATTCGCACGGTTTCAGAATCGAAGAAGCAGATGAAACTTCGACTTGACCGGAATGTGCTTGCACCCGAAACCCTAAACCTAAACCCAAACCCTGAACCCTAAACCAAAAGCCCTGAATCTGAGATTTGTTTTGCGACGGAAGCCTTCTTCCACCTCCTCGGCTCGCTCTTCGGTGTCTGCGGTCTCCTGGCTCGGAGACGTTGCACTTTTCAGGTTTAGGGCCTTTCGGGCTTGTAGGGTTCATGGTTTAGGGTTTAGGGGGTGTTTTAGAAGCTTAGACAAGTTCATGTGATGCCGCTGCAATCCGCCCCTGTCACAGCAACCGGCTTTCTCAGCCTTTTCGAGCTTGCTTGCTTTGTTGCGGCTAGACGATCATTAAGTTGAGCCTCCTGTGACCCCGGAGTCTTGCAGGACATGACAATGAAGACATAGCTGTTCATGACTGACGCTTCCACATTGCAGTTGCAGCCGCTCCGCTCGGACACTGAAGGTGAATGCACCCCCCCCCCCCCAACTTTCGAACCCTACACCCTAATACCCCGAAACCCATCAACCAAGCCCCTGCAAAGTTAGCTCTGGCACCTCTCCGTCCATCGAGCTCACACGACTCATCCTCCGGGCTTGCTGTTTCGGTGCCACCCCAGGATTTTTGCTTCAGGTTTAGGTTTACGGTTTAGGGTTGAGTTTAGGGTTGAGGGTTGTTGGTGTTGTTTGCATGTGTGCGCGTACGTGACTGCTTGATTTTGTGGATCCCCGCCAATGGCCTGCGATGCGCTTCGTACTCAGCCGGGTCGGGCGGGGCACTGGTGCCTTGCCGCGAGGCTTTCGGAGGCTTCAGGGATCTTCAGGGTTTAGGGTGCTGGGGTTTTGGGGTTTTGGGGTTTTGGGGTTTTTCTTAACACCTCTTTCCGACTGCATGAAGGCACATACCGACGGAGAGCCCTAAGCCCCTTCGGTCCCTCATATACTCACTGACCATCGGTCTCGCCCTCCATCCGTGTGCATTCTGCCCTTGACCCTGCGGCCCTGTGTCCATTCTGCCTCCTCCTGCACGTCCTCAAACCCTTCACGTTTCAGTGAAATGTGCTGCTCGGCGTCCTGCATCATACTGTCATCTACCACGGTTTCCGACCCTACCTCCACAGCACCAGGCATCACTGCTACAGGACATTCGGCTGCATTCATGTTGGTGCTCTGTGTGTCCATTGGCCCTGTCATAGCAAGCTCCGACACCCTGAGTATCTCCAGCGTCTCTGCCAGGATTTAGGGTTTAACGTTTCCGTCTCGCTGGGTCAAGCCTGGTTGTAAACCTCCAATAAGAGTCGAGGAGTTGCAAGATTTCCACCTCGATATTCTCTGGGCCTAGGGCCTTTATGGTCTTTTGTTGGTAAAGAACCTCGCGGAATTCTAAGAGAGAGAACCGACCCTCCTCTTGTGATGTTGGGCGGAGTGGCTGTCTACCTCTGCGTCGATCGGCGGGGTGGTCCAGGATCGAGGGTTTGGCCCATTCTTGGAATTTTGCCAGTGAAGCCCTTGCGCTGCTAGCGTGCCCTAAACCCTAAACCCTAAACCCTGAACCATACTGTGTTCAACAACACCGAAGCCCTCAGTTGCGACAACAGCAAACCAGAGCCCCCAAAGACCAAAAGACACCCGAAGGTCCCAAAATCAAAACCCAAAAGCGCAAGGACACCTTTTTGACCCAAAGGCCCCAAATTTGTTTTAGGGTTTAGGGTTTTAGGGTTTAGGGTTCAGGGTTTAGGGTTTAGGGTTTAGGGTTTTAGGGGTCTTCAAGGCCAAGTTACTTCTCGTAAAGCCCTTGGTGGACAACTGGTTCCCGGCACCCTTCCGATCCAATGGTGGGCCCAAGGCCTGCCAACAGGGGGCGCGGAACGGACGCGGCGACTTCCGGACGAGGCCCATGAAACTCTATAGCCAAGATTATTCGCAATCCTTCTTATATTATGCGTCTGTTAAATTTCTCGATATTAGTAAATCCTACTGTCATTACTTTTATTAACTCTATGACTCTGGCTTCAGTGCCGTTCCTGTTGTTTCCAATGCTATCATGCTTGTTAACCATACCTTCAATCCTTCAACGGTTCAGGGTTTAGGGAAGGGTGCCTAGGGCCTAGGGCCTGGGTTTTGATGTCGGGCTAGGCCCTCGGACTCTAGAGTCAACCAATGCAGGGGTGCATGGGTTTAATTCGGGTTCAGGGTTTTCGGCTGGAGGGCACCCCAAACCATGGGGGACTGTGGGGAATTCTGTTAATTACTCATGCCGCTATAGTCTATAGTTATGGTAGAGCCGTTTTCAACCCACACCCATCACCACACCTCTGCCTGAGGCAGCGATCGCGCACGGTCAAGAGTGGGCGGCCCCGCTTCGGAGAGACCTCAAAGCAAAGGCCACGGCTCGGGGATGCGTGTAGGTAGGTTTGGTCAGCTGTACATTTCGTTAGATAACTCAACTTTTCTAATTCAAGGGCTCGTGGTACAGCTTCGCATCTATGCGGGAGGCCCAGCAGGGCATCCGACGTCGGACGGTTTGGGCCGGTTCAGGCTTTCAGGGATCTTTTGTTCCATTGTCAAAACGATGTTACAGGCGTTACAGGTGTGGGGTTGCGGCTCTCGGATAAGGGGCGCAGTGGAATTGGATTCAGGAACGCTTAGGGATTTGCGGGGCTTGGGGTTTTGGGTTTTGGGACACGCCCTGCGAAGCCGACATCAATCCCGAAGCCACCAAGGCCCTGCAACGCCCTGAACTCCGAACCCGTAAACCCTAAACCCTAAACCCTAAACCCCAAACCCTAAACTCAAATAGCCAGAGAGAAGGCACTCCGGATTTGCCGAAGTCCCCACATCAAACCGTATCAGCAAGAATACTTAGAGGGTCTCTCCACATATTTACACCTATGCAACCCAAAACACTCTATGAAGCCCTTAAAGACCCAGCAGTCAAGCCCCTATACAACCCTTGTAGGGCCTTTATAAGAATCCTTTCAAGCATTCGGTGGAAGCCTTATAGGAACCTTTGCCTGCTATTGATCCCTCATAGGAGCCGGATATCATGAAGCCCTACAGCCCTCCTGAACCCTTGTAGAACCCTTCTGCTGAAACCCTGAACCCTGTTGAACCCTTTTTACCTTTTGTGCCTTGATCCTTAGCCCCAAAACCCTCTAGCCCTTTACCCCAAACCCTAGAACCTAGATCCCTAGGAGCCCCTGAGCCCCAGAGCCCTAAACCCTCGAAGAACCCCCCTAAACCCGAAACCCAAACCCCTAAACCCTGAACCCTAAACCCTAAACCTTACAGACCAACTCGGTGCCGCCGCGATACCCTCCACGCCCGGGCGACCAGAACCCTGGGTGGACTCCGGAGGAGGCTCGTCGACAGCCCTGGCTTTGAGTAAGTCATAGAACTTTCTTTGCTTCTGTCGGCTCTGTTCCTCCGGGTTTTCAGCTTTGGGCTTTAGAGTAGGTTTGAGGGGTTAGGGCTTTGTGGCTTTAGGCAAAAAGTTTTCGGGCGTGGGGTTTGGGGTATGGGGTTATGTGGTTTCTATCCAGGTTTTCTGAACGGTTTCAGTAATTGAAAAAATGAAGGCCAGAGCAAAGCCCGTCTAGGAGGCTAGTGAGGCGAGTTGAGGTTGAGGATAGGGTCCATGTCAAATCCTACGGATCCAAGGACTGCAGGGCTTGAAACCCTAAACCCTCAACTGGCCCTAAACCCTAGGCCTCTGGACTCCAAGGGTAGGATGAAGTCAAACTCGGGTTCAAGGGGTTTTGGGTTCAGTCAGGAGTCCGGAAGTTGACGTGTTAGCTCCAGTGCCACGGGTGACATAAATCCTGCATGACCTATAATAAAGAATGTACCATAATTCCCACAGCTTAGGGCCCTTAAGATAATGCAGGAATGCAGGGTTTACATCATCAACAGTAGTCAATAAGGAATGTACCATAATTCCCACAGCTTAGGGCCCTTAAGGTAATGCAGGAATGCAGGATTTACATCATCAACAGTAGTCTGATGCATACAACTGAGAAGGCATCAAGGCCTGTCGCCAGCCACAATGGTTGAACGGCTGAACGGTTCTACGATTGAAACACCTACTATCATTCCCTGAAACAGCCTTTGCAGAACCCGAGCCCCAACCCTGAACTTTTTTCCATACCCTCAGCCTCAGACCCTAAACTCCCTAAGCCTGAGCCCTCCTAAACTCTCAGACCCTTTCTGCAGCAGGCTTCTCTCGCCTGGAACAAGCCCTAAAACCCTAAACCCTAAGCCCCAAACCCTAAACCCCAAACCCTAAACCCTGAACCCTAAACCCTGAAGAAAAGGATCTGGGAGTCTTCGGGCTCCTCTCGGCAGATCGGAGCTCTTCCATGGAGAACTGCTCGGGCGGGCCGACCGCTGTCACCTGCAAAACACCCGAAGCCCCGGTTGCATTAAAGCGCTCCTTTACAGGCGGTGTCGGGTTTAGGGTCCAGGGTAAGAGGGTTCTGTCAGGGTTTTAGAAGGGGGCCTCAGGTGTTGAGGGTTTTGGGATTTAGGGTTTAGGGTTTAGGGTTTAGGGTAGATTCTGGGGTCGGGTTTTGCTTCCAAGCTTTACTGGCTCTGGTCTGCAAGTGTAGCACATGATGCTAGAATTGCAGGACAAGCCTGACGGTATTTTATGATGGAAGACCAAAATTGCTTTTGCCGTCCTCAAGGCTCTCGCCGTGGGCATTGCCAGAAATAGGTCTGGAGGCTTAAGCTTCAGATTTGTTGCAAGCTCCGGTGGTTCACATCTAGGCACCCCTACTCAGGACAAGGTTTTCCGACCATGTATAAGTTCGCGTGAGTTCGGCACGACCCCGCATCAGTTCGTGTAAGTTAAGCCCGACGCCGCGTAAGTCAGCAGAACTTAGAGCCTGTGCAAGCTATAGCGTGAATCCAAGCCTGTACCTGGTAGGCCCAATTGCAACCTGCCAGCTTCTCCCAAAAATTTGACCCCGTAAGCGTACCCAATCGAACCGTATCAACCAGTGGCACCACACAATTCGAACGATACCCACAAGCCTTTGAACAAGAACTCCGGCCGGTTGGTTGGACGTTGTGTCCTCCGGGTTGGATCCAGACTTTTGGTTTAAGGTCCCGAGGAACCTTTTGTCGTAAAGGCAGGCGCCTCCCCGTTCCTGATCACAACGACAAGGTCCGCCTGAGCTTCTTGGGAAAGGGTTTAAGGGGGTCATAGGGGTGTAGGGAGTTCAACTCAGAGCTCTGAAACCCTCGCAATCCCACAACCCTGAACCCCCAATCCGTAACCTAAAACCTTCCTCCCAAGTCCCTACAAAACCGAACTCAAACTCCGAACCTTCCCCGTGGTTCTCTAAGCCCGAGGCAGTAGCAAACCCTGAAGATTTCAATCAAGTTCGCCCTTCCGTTGTAAGCAGCCCGAAGCAGTCACCTTGATGGCCTTTAAGAGTAATGAGGCTGCTCTGTCATAGAGTCACAAAGCCCTGTAAAGGCTCCATAAGCCCCAAAGCTCCATGCGGATACTTGGGCTTCAACACGATCGGACATCTGGTACTTTCATGGCCCTACGGCAGTCATGGTCAGCTGACTGCGCCCCAAACTCGTTGCATCAAACAGAACTTCAGCTACAATAGCACGGACACGATGCCTGCTTGGTGAAATTGCAATTGTGGTGAGACGGCACAACGCATGCAACGAGTACAGGGGCAGTGACAACAGCACTGGTCAAACGAATAGTGGCCCTGATGCCACAGTTTTCCAAATCCGCCAAGCCCGTGACCCTGAAACCCTGAAAATCCGACGCCCTGAAGCCCTATTTACAGCTGGAGCCCTGGCTTCCCTAACTGCATGCCCCTGACACCTTTTGTGAACCCATAGCCCCAGACCCTAGACCTTAAAACCTAGACCCTAAGCCAACAGGAACCTTGAAGGCTTGCGACTTCTGGGGTGCGTTCTCTCAGAAGTTGGATGGCAGTTCCAGAAATTTCAAGGGCTTCGGAGTTCAGGGTTCAGAGCGTAGATTTAGGGTTTCGGTTGAGGGTTTATGGTTTTTTTGTTTCGGTTTAGGCTTTAGGTGTAGCATTTGGGGGTTTAGGGACTCCGAGCTATAGGCCTACTTCACAGGATCCTAACTCTAAGGAAGCCCGGGCAACCAGAAGCATTTAGACGTTCACCGTTTGTATCTTTCGCTTCAGGTTTCTGAATGCCTGTAGCTGAAGCTCATGACCCCGAACCCCGCTGCGCCTCTGTTGCAAACTGAACCTGGTGGCTCACCAGCAGGCGCGTGGTCTTCGACAGGAAGCCTCTGCTTTGTGCTGTTTCATCATGCGGCTTTCTTCGCAGAGACCTGCATGTTCATCTTATATCTGAGTTTGGGTCGTCGTAGAAGTCATATGCATTCGCAGTTGCAGTCGTGGTAGTAGCAGCAGAAGTGATCGTAGTAGCCCCTCATTGGTCAGGACCCCTGGTTTCTAGTAACTACGTCGAGCACTAAACCTGGCACTCCTTTGAGAACCACCTGGAACTTGAAGCATCTGAAACTTTAGGGTTTAGGGTTTACACTCTCACAACTCGGACATGCCAGGCGAGGATCCATAGGTGCACAAGTCGGCGTGACACTTCAAGCTGCCCATGCTGGGTTTAGGGTTTAGGGTTCAGGCCTGGCAGTCCCCCAGAAAACACCGCCAACCTTTTTCAAACCTCTCAAGGTGGCTTGATAGCGGGCGCAAATCAGCAAGTTCCTTTAAACCCTAAACTCTAAATCCTACGCCTTAGAACGATTAAAGGTCCCTTAAACCCTGAACCCTAAACCTTACAACTATGAAAAGTTGCCTTCAAACCCGAACCCTAAACCCTAAACCTTCAACCTTACAACTACTATGTCCCTTAAACCCCAACACCCTAAGCCAGCCCAAGCCCTAAACCTTTTAACCTTTGCCAGAGCCCAGGCTTCGACGAGCAGCCGTCTGCACCGAGGCATTCCTTGACCTCAGGCGGAACGAAGGTCCAATAACGGGGCCGCCCTCATAATTAGAATGGGGACAAAGAAACCGGGTGTCCCTTAAAGGGTTCCTTTAAAGGGGTCTGCAATGAAAGCTTGACTATAGGTGTAAGGGATAGTATTTGCTGACGATTGCGGCATCTAGTTTTTTTTTTTGCAAAGGCTCGAGGGTTTCAGGCATCAGACGTAGGGTCTGTTACCTTCTGCCCTGCTTGACGAGGTCCTGCTGGGCAGGGATGCAACGACTGTCATGTGAACGTGAGACTGGCGAGACCGGTCTCAAGCCTGAACCCTAAACCCCCTAAACTAGTTTCACGGCCGTCAAGGCCACCTCAGCACTGCAAAGGAAGCCGGAAGCAACTTTCCAGCAAAGGGGCGCCAAAATGACAAGGCTCTAACTTTCCACTCCATGGCAAGTTACGCACTCTTCAGGGCTTAGCGTGCAGGGGTTTAGGGCCCAGTGTTTAGGGCTCACAGGCCTTTTCTTGTAGGGCTAAGTTAGGGCTTCAGATTCCCGATCTTCTGTGCTCGCGGTCTTGGGAAGGAAGGGCCTTGAGTTCGACAGGGTGTCCGAGGGCCACATGGGGCGAAGACCTTCCAAGTAGTGTAAGATCTTGGGCCACATATCATCTTGCGCTACAAGTTGAAGTAAAGTGGTCGTACCCGGTGGGCTTAGGGCTTAGATGCCCCGGTACCGACACTTAGCTCGTCTTGAACGATGAGAACCCACGGGTCTCGTCTGAGCTGGTTGAAACTGCTGCCAGCAAGCCAAGTGCACCGCCACATGCGCATCCACGGCCTCAAGTGCGCTCACTTCTTTTGGGGTTTATCGGTCAACTTTTAATGCCTACCGTAAAACCTTTTCCGGGCCCTTTGTTGGGGAAGGTCTGGCTAGGCCCCATTTGGGGCCCCTTTCTTCGAAGATGCCGAAAGCACCGACACCTGAATCACAGTGCCTACAAGTAGGGCGCATACGAAGAAGAATGAAGGATCTAGATATTTGACCCAGACCCCCTGAACCCTAAACCCTGAACCCCAAACCCTACCCAGCCCCAAAACCCTTGCAGCTCCAAAACCCAAGCAGCCCTGAAATTCAACCCGAATTCCAGGAGATCTGGGTTGAAGTTTGGGGCGGAGGATAATCGAATTGCAAGCTCTTCGAAGATGGCAGTAGTGATAGTGTTGGTATGAGGGTATACGTAATATCCTTAGTATTCGTAGTTTTAGTCGTCGTCGTCGTAGTATTTGTATTCGTAGTAACATTTAATCATTAGCCGTAATCGTAGTCGCAGTCGTAGTGGTAATATCAACAGTAACGGTACCAATAGCTGTAACAGTTACAGCTACAGTAACAATAGCAGTAAAAGTAACAGCAGTAGTAGTAG